GATTTTGTGAGCAGAGGGTGCCATCATATGTCATACAGTTATTCCTGGCTTTGCACAGTTGGGAAGTATGCTAGAGGATTTGAGGTTCATTCCCCCAATGTTCGATGGCTCAGTTCCAAGTAAGATGTAGTGGCACATTTCCCACCTGCTGGGTCACACACGAGCCACATTTTTGTTTGTTTCTTTCCCTTAGTCTGTCTTCTAGGTATTGTTTACACACAGCATTTTAAATATACAGTGGGATGGGTCTTAGACAACTCAAATCAAGAGGTGGAAATTTATACCATCACAGAAACTTTTCTCATGCCCCCTTCCAAGCAGTCAATACTTTTCTGATTATTAGTAATATTTGTTCACCCAAATCAATATGTAGTATATTCCAATACCCCAGAGGGTTCTCTCAGGCCTCATCTTGCTCATCACCCACTCCCATAAGTAACAGATTATTACATTTATCGCCGTAGATAAACTTGCCTTTTCTTGAACTTTCCCTATGAATGGAATCCTTCCCTTTTCTTGTTTTACAGGACATCAATTTCTTTTGAGATCCATCTATGTGGTGTCTCTGCAGTGTGTTCCTTTTTCCTTGCTGCACAGTATTCTGTTGTGTGCATATGCATCAATTGGTTGAATCATAAGCACCCAACAGCTCTGAACCTATTTCTTTTTCTCCTGACATCTTTATCTTTCAGTCCTTGAGGGGAAGCTGGCATGTGGGCTCCTTGCAACCAGTTCTCTGTCCTCTTTGTTCACTGTTGTACCCTCAATACCCAGGACAGAGTGTGACGTATATATATATAGCAGGTGCCTAGTATGAATATAATGAATGAATGAATGAAACAGTGTTCAGAACACATCATTTTCATTGTCTTCTATTCTAGTCCTATGTATACTTCCCTGTTTAAATCAGAACTACAGGATTCCTAGGACAATCTCTTTGCCCACAAACTTACATGAATTTCAGGGCCCACAGATCACACTCAAGCTCTCTCTATAAAAGCTTTCCGAACCTCTAGACCAGACGAGGTTATAAGGCCTTTTACAGGCCTTATAATTACCTCTGTCACTCCCATCATGACTCTCATTGCACCTTATTGTCATTGCTGCTCTCATTGGCTGCCCTACCCTCTGACTCCTCTATTTCTTTCCACCACTAAATTCCATGTTCAGCACTCTGACCCATGAGAAGCACAGGGTACGTACTGGGTAGGACTTCTTACAGAGTGTTTCTCTCTGCGAGATTGCTCATCTCAAGTCCACAGCCATTAGACAAAGCCCTTGTGAAGACAGAAGCAGATTTGAGATCATGCCCTCTGCTAAGGATCGAATGTTTGTGCCCCGCCCCCCATTCATCTGTTTATATTCTAGCCCCTCATGAGATTGTACTAGGAGAGGATGCCTTAGAAAGGTGGTAAGGTTTAGATGTGGTCATGGGGGGGGGGCGTGGAGCCCCCATGATGTGATTAGTGACATTATGAGAAGAGGAAGAGACTAGAAACCTCTTTCTTCCCACTGTGTGAGGACATAGCAAGAAGACAGCAGTCTGAAAACCCAGAGGAGGGTTCTCACCACAAACTGAATTGGCAAGCACCTTGATCTTGGACTCCCCAGCCTCCAGAAATGTCTGTTGTTTAACCTGCTCAGTCTGTGGTGTTTGTAATGGCCACCCAAGCTGCTCAGACAACCTCTGTTGATGACTTCTACTTAGGACATAACATTTCACGGCCAGGGGCTTGTCTTCATCCTTTAAATATTTCAGACCAAATATTAAATCTATGAATGTGTTTGGTGGACCATGGTCATGGAAAGCTAGACATTTGCCTGAGTTTGTCCTGTGGAAATCTTAGCATGCTCATCTTAACCCAACCAAACATTTGGGAATCTGACAGCCTGTAAGTACTAGATCTGTGACCTCTCCATCAAGTTCTATCCTCTGACACAATTGGGCTCCCCACCTCTAGTCCGTACAGCAAAGGGTGGCTGCGGGGCCCCAGAGAAGTGTAAGCTGTGATGGGCATGTGGTCTGTCTTCCTTTATTCTCAACATAGACTCTTCAGGGCATGGGCTCTGTGAGGGCTCGTGCATTCCATAAATGGTGTGCAAACTGAGGCAGTATGCATATGTGCATTTTCCTGGCATGGGAGCCTGGAATTTCTTACCGTATTTTCACAAGGCCTCACGCATCCCCCTAATAAGTTCAAAACCACTGGTGTCAGGTTCCTTTAATGATCCTTCTAGTTGATTACTGAAGTGTCTCTCTTAAGTACAAGAGTAGAAGGAGTGGAGCAAGGATGCTACCTGAGACCCCACTTATGAAGCCCCACCCCCACTTCTTCTAGCTTTACAAGCCCTGAGCCCTCTCTGACTCTCAGTGGTTGGATTAGCTGGCTTCCTGGGCTTCTTGCACTGTCTGGTTGAACAGTTCATCACAGACGGAGAGGAGAGCTGACACAAACTGGCATGGTCTTTCTGTGCATTTTGTAAAAAGATGGTGTCTACCAAAAAATTTATTGTGTGTCTTATCCCAGCTTCTGTCTCGTGGAGCCACTAGAACATGGGCCTTCTAAAGAATGCCAATCAATGAATTCCAAGAAAAAGAATAGGCAATACAATAATCTGACTGCTTTTTGGTGCCAGGGACAGGAAACACGATGATGTTTTCTTGAGAGGACAGAGGGAGGGATGGCTAAATTGGCCTGTCTGCTCAGGGACAGGTGAGCTAGTAAGTCACTGGATATGGAGACTTTTATATACTCGAGGGAATGTTTGCCACTATGCTTGCACCAACCATCAGAAATATGTGAAAAGAGACTCATCATTTGGGAAGATTAATACTTTATTTTTTTTTCTGGTGGTCAGCAATTTACTGCTAATTTTGAATCTGGAGAGCACAAACTGTAGTGGAAGTCAATGGAAGAGAGTTTAATGTGGCTCCTCGTGCCAGCCCTGAAGTATTGAAGTCAGCTGCTCTGAGTTCTGTCCAGGGCCCGTCAGTGAGTAATTTGATTAAGGGGTTGTTGGGCTGGGTCTTCGCAGAGCTGCAGATGTCACCCACGAGGCCTCACAGGAGATGGATAGAAACTCGGGAGAGTTGATCATGTTGATCCGAAGATCCGTATATTGAAAATGCACCCAGGGTGAGCCCAGAAATTATCTGTCTGCCAGCTTAACTTCTCTACCTGGAACAAATTATCCAAAAATCAATTTGCAAACACCTTTGAGATAACAAGGCCTTGAGTAATAACCTCCATGGCTTTGTAAAGAAAAGCATCTAGCTTGACTAATCTGCTTAATTTCCTTCTCTGACCAAATGGCAGGCTATAATAGAGGCAATCTGAAGCTGTCCCTTAGGATTTGCTCTGAGCCACTCTGAGAAAATATTGTCCAACCCTGCCTCATAGCAATTATTCTGTTTGCAGAGAATCTTTGTTGTTGGGTAATTAATTAGAAAGAATGCATGGAATGAATTTTATCTATCCGGAAGTGCTCACCTGAGTTTGAAACTGAAGCTCGTACCTGCCTCCGTCACCTGAATAACCCAGAGGTTCTCTTATAGGTCTTGAATCTTGCACTCCACTCCCAAATGCCTCCCCCACCCTCCACTTCCTAAATCTGCTCATTAATTTCCTCATACCCCTTTGTAGATACTCCAATTCCTGGAAGTTGGTCCTAAGAAAACATGAGACAAGACTGGAGTCCCACAAGGATGTTCATTAAGGCATCAGTTACCATAGCAAAACTTAGAGCAACTCATGTGACCAACAAATGGAGACTAGTTAGTGTGGTCACCTGATGGGTTATTTGGTAGCTCTTAAAGACAGGGATGGTAAAATCCAGGCAGTATATATGCAAAGTCCTTAGGATAGAATACGTTGAAGGAAAAACAAATGTACATTGCATCTATGTGTTACTGGAACCGCAAGAAAAAAGGTTTTTATATATGAATAGGCACTGCAACGGGACATGGAGAAATAAAAGACTATTATGTTGGGTGATAGAGAAGGGACATTTTCTCTTGCTTCTTACTTTCTTTATTGTTGCTCCACAGTTATTTTTTGCAACCAATAAAAATATATCTTTTTTGATTTTTACAAAATGGGCATCAAGAGGCGAACAGCCTCCAAGGCGAGAGCTGGTCTCAGAAGACCTGAGGTGGTGGGTTCCATCTTGCCTTATGCTCCATGATCTTGGTTCGGTGACCTGGTCACTTGAGTTCTAAGTTTCTTCCTCCCCATCAAATCAGAGGTGATCATGTCTCAAGAACTATGCAAAGTAATGCCGGTGAGGCTCCTTGGCCAGTGAGAAGTACAAAGGAAACGTTGATTTCTGCAGCTTTGCCGGTAGGAGGCCACCACAAAGGCATGTTGAAAGCCTGGTCTCTTCAGCTGAAGAGACATAGAGTGGCAACAGGTTGCAAATACAGTACAACTTGGCATGACTTTTCCCTTGACCCTTGGTTCCCAACGGGGCGGTCGGGGCCAGTGGCACTGTCCCTGCGGGAGGAACCTGCTGGGGTTGAGGGAGACGCTGGATGCTTGCTGTGCCACTATCCTTTCGCTACTGAGGCTCAAGTCTCTCTCTGAGAGAACTTCCATTAGATACCTGTGTGTTTCTGTAAAAGCCATCGGTGCAAACCTCAGACAGCCCTGCGTTATGAACCAAACTCTGCTTCAGGAAAGGCAGGTTCTCATTTGAGGATGTAAGGCGGAATATCAACCCAGACAGCTTTGCCTTGTTCTGGAAAAACCCTTCCCTCCCAAACACCCTCTCCCTTTTCTTCCATAAAAGAAAGAGCTAGGGGAGGTATGGCATATAGTTAGTGAAGAAATACTGATTCGGGTACTTAAATACAAAAACGTGAAAATCACAGCAAGACATGATGGGGTTAAGGAGAAACTTGAGCCGTTATATGGCTCTGTCTGGAATCCTGTCCCTTGCGGGCTTGGGTTTTGTTCTGTAACCGTGAGTCTTATGTCCTTTTCTGACTGTTTGTCTTTCAGAGCCACCCACACCCATCGCCCCCCCAGAGCTGCTGGCTGTGGGCGCCACGTACCTGTGGATCAAGCCCAACGCCAACTCCATCATCGGGGACGGCCCCATCATCCTGAAGGAGGTGGAGTACCGCACCACCACGGGCACCTGGGCCGAGACCCACATCGTGGACTCGCCCAACTATAAGCTGTGGCATCTGGACCCGGATGTGGAGTATGAGATCCGGGTTCTACTCACAAGGCCTGGAGAGGGGGGCACCGGGCCTCCGGGGCCTCCGCTCACCACCAGGACCAAGTGTGCAGGTAAGAGCCTCCATTCTGGCTTTATTTGGGGGCCTGGGCAGGCACTGTGCGGGATCTTCCTCTGTGACAGTCATGCCTGACCTTCTCGGTGTGAGTGTGCATCCTGCTGGGGAGGAAAGCAGTCAGGGTGTTGACGTAGCCTTAGAGGACCTCCTGGCTTTGGTGATATCTGTGCGGACCTTCCAGCTCTGACAGACTCCAGCTGTGCCCGGTTCTGACAGTGTTGCCAGTGGGAGGCTGGTTTGAGCTCGCCCCAGGCTTCCCTGCCCTCACTGGCTGAGGCCTCCTGTGGTCGAGTTTCTGAGGCTCTGGGCTCTGACCGTGGCCCCTGAAGGTCTCACTGGGACTTGATCTCTGAGTGCTCCCAGTTCCTATTGCATCTCTGATGGGAGCTGTGTCCCTGAAGACCCCTGGGCTGGCCTCTGACCCTAATGAGGTCTTGAACTTGATCATTCATCTGAGGGCCCCTGGCCCCATGTTTCCAGGGGTTCTTGGCTCCACTGATTCCCTGAGGTTCCCGCATGCTGCTTCCCAGTTTGCTGGCTGGGACTGTCTTGGGGGAGGACTGTTTGGATCCAGCTGTGTCCCTGAGGGCTCCAGGCTGCTCTGCTGTTTCAAACAAGGAGTGTTGGCTGAGATTATGTCTCTAACTAGATCCCTGAGATGTCCCAGCTGGGAATGCAACTCAAGAAATTCAAAGAACTTGGGGTTCATTTTTTTTTTTTGGCAAGTGACATTATTTATATTATCTCAATTCCCCCCTCTAACCATTCAGTGTAAGCATTTTTATCTCATGTTTACATGGATGGATGGAGACTCATGTTCTACACAGTGTGTTCCCATTTATAGCATTGGCCAGTGGCAGTCAGGATGTGCACCTGGCTCAAAAGCCCTTGGTGATTGTTTGCAGCATGTGACTAAGCAGAGGGGTGTGTTTCATCTGTGAGGGACAAGCAGCTGGGGGGGGGGGTTTCAGTGGGGGGCGGTGTGTGTCAGGGAAGCCACGACCTGGGCTGCTGGCTTCCCAGGGAAAAGGCGTCATGACAGCTTCGGGGTGGGGAGAGAAAGGCCTGCTAGCACAGTGCCTGGCATGGAACAAAAAGCCAAGTAACACACAGTCCATCCTGCTACCGTGTGTGTGTTCTTAAAAGCCATTGCACTCTGCAAAGCCAAGCAATAAAAATAAATGGGCGTGTGAGGCATGACCCTGTACTTCATCAGGGTCACCTTATAAAAAAGGAGAGAAACCCAGTCAAACTGGTGGCACAATTTTATACATGTTTATGGCCAACATATGCATAAAAACTGCAACACGTGTGGTGTGTCAGCTTGGAAAGCCCTGATGTTTGCTTGTGGAAGTGGGTGTCCGAAAGACTGCAGTCTGAAAGACAAGGTGAGATGGTGAGGAGGGCATCAGAAAGCAATATTGGTGATACACCAGGCGTGGCTGAATGTGGCTTTTCACTCTGGCCCCGAGCGCTGAGGGAGCAGGAGTGAGGTGCTGCAGGTGGGTGTTCTGTGTGTATTCCTGTGTCGCTCAGCTCAGTGGGTACAGCTTTCCTCTTCACTCATGTGCCTGCATACAAATGTGAAATTTGCGTTATGCTCACATTGTTTCCTGATGGAACCCATACGCATTGTCAAGAGAAGAGTTCCCAAGAAATTGACTAGAACCATCCTACAGTATCTCAGTCGTGTATCTTGGAACTGTGTAACCCAAAGTTAATATCTCTGTTGCTTGGGACTATTCCTTTGAAAGTTATTGGACCGCTGTGATGAATGGAAATGCCGTTTTCTTGATTATTTTCACAACTGGGCCTTTGGTAAAATTTCTCATTGAAACCTGATTATGAAATTTACTACTTTAAAAGGACATGGGATACGTTATTAAATCAGGTAATGCCTTATCTCAGCTTTGCAATTCAATATCCATCCATAAAAATAATTGATTCTATCCTGCCGACGAGACTTTCCTCTTTCCACAGGGTAAATCTAAGGGTTTCCAAGGTTTTCGATCTTTATAAATGATATTCAAAGTACTGTTAGGAGCCCCCATGGACTTATTGCTGGTGATCATATAATACAGTTTGAAATTCAATTGCAAGATGATCATCTCAATAAAAATTTACAATCTATTGAAAATTGTTGCCATGACTGTGTAATGGATTTTGCATGTTGAAAACACAATTGTCTCGCTATCACTATAAAAATTCTGAGCTGAAATGCTGTTTACAGCTTTATATTTAAAAAATGTTGTTTAAGTTATGACTGAAATCTTCAATAACCCACATTTTCTAAAATGTGTCATCAAGATCATCTTTCCCACAGTTCCACTGATAGTAGAATGTTCTTTGCCTCATAATTAATTTTTAAGAGAATTCCAAGGTTGATATTCATTTATGGGTTGGTAGTCTGAGTCCTCCTACCCTTTCCCTATTCATTATTAATAGCACTGAAAACATACTCTTTGCTTTACAAAATAGAAAGCGAGAGAATGTGGAGGGTGGAAGGTATAATTTCTGCCCAGAGGAATTTACAGGCTGCGTTTAGATTCCAACAAAAACAGTGGAAAGGGTAAAACATAAACATAAAGTCAGTTATTGAAATACCAAACTCCATGGAGAAAAGCACGGCTGGTGTAGAAAGAGCCAAGCTCTTAGAATGATCTGGAGCAGTGGTTTTCAAAGTGTGGTCCCCAGACCCCTGCTTTGGCACCCCCGAGAACATGTTAGGAAGGCACAATCTCAGGCCCACCCCCCTGACATAACGATTAGGAAATTCTTAGATTGGGGCCCAGATGCTTTCAGGAGCCCTCTGGATGCTGCTGACACACACCCACATTGAAGAACTACTGACAGACTGTGACTCGCCCACATGCCACGTTCAGAATGACCATTTTATTTATTTTTTATTTATTTTTCTAATATATTTTATTGATTTTCTTACAGAGAGGAAGGGAGAGAGAGAGAGAGTTAGAAACATCAATGAGAAAGAAACATAGATCACCAACCAGATCTGAAATATCATGGCTGGCACGTACACATAAGGAACTATCTGGCATTGAAATTGGGACACAAAAGAACTGTTGGCCCAGAAAGGAACTCACTACAGACTGATACATTTGCCTCTCAGCATAACCATTATGGCTTGTTGCAGTTTAGGTTCTTACAAGGGTACTTCTTGGATCACATGATCTCACATATCTAGAGGAAACAATGAACAACACAAACAGACCCAGAGAAAGAGAACCAGCGATCAGACTCTCAAACCTCAGAGGGAAAGTAAGGGGGATGGGGGTAAGGGGAAGAGATCAACTAAAGGACTTGTGTGCATACATATGGGCCTAGCCAGTGGCCATGGACAATGGGAGAGGGGAGGGGCATATTTAGGGAGGGGTTTGGGATGGGAATGGGGGAATAAGGACAATTATGTGAGACCATAATAAATAAATAAATAAATAAATAAATAAATAAATAAATAAATAAAAAGAATTTTAACAAAAAAAAAAAAAAGAAAAAAAGAAAAGAAAAGAAACATAGATCAGCCGCCTCCTGCACACTCCCCACTGGGGATGTGCCCACAACCAAGGTACATGCCCTTGACTGGAATCGAACCCGGGACACCTTCAGTCCTCAGGTTGACGCTCTATCCACTGAGCCAAACCAGTTAGGGCCAGAATGCCCATTTTAATGCTTGATCCTTGAGACATCGCTGAGAGGTGGATAGGAGGAAAACTTAGGTTCAGAGTGATCAAACCAAGGTTACAAATTAATTCAGAACTTAGAGCGAAATCCCTTGACCTGAGGAATTCCACAGTAGGTGGACTGACGGAGCTTCCCCTGCACGTGTCCACTTGAGTGTGGGATTGGGTGATGGGGAGACTGGTCACTATGGAGACCAGCTGAGAATGAATGGCTGCCATGCCCTGTAACAGTAGTCCTTTTCACCAGACATTTACCAAGTCACTTCCATGCGCCAAATTCTGTGCTAGGCTCTGGGGGCAGAGGCTGGCCTAGGAAGGACATGCTAAAAGTAGGCAGAGGCTCATAGCCAAAGTGTACGAGTTCAGGTATAGCTCAGTGAGATACTAGAGGGCCCAGTCAGCAAGGGCAGGTGGGGATGTATTATGGTTCTGCCAGGTCTGACAGGGCACTGAGCAGGTAAACCATCAGGGCACTGGCAAGGTCCAACCCTCAAGGGTAGATATCTTCAATTAGAGTTTGGCTACAGGGCAGCATCTCAGACCAATAGTCTAGAGTTCAGAGCAAGACTTTTGGCCAATTAAGCTGGAGCCTGGAGAGATGGTCAGCTGGGATCTGGGAATGGGGGGTTGGGAGAAGAGGGCCAAAGATGACAGTTCCAGGCTTCTGGTTGGGTTGACTGAGACATGAGTGGTGGAGCCATTTTCTGAGGTGGAAAACACAAAAGATGGTCTAGGGGCAAGGCAGTGGGTTTAGGTGTACACACCTTGTGTGTGAGGTGAAGATTCCCAGATGAATGTAAACCTGGAGCTCCGGGGAGACCAGCAGATTGCCTCTCCCTCTGCCGTGAGGGCCACCTGATTGCACCTGGATTTTAAAATCAAAGGGACTTCTTAGCACCAATGAAAGCAATTTAATTCTCTTTCTTCATGCCGTTCTCTTGAGGTGCTCCATTCATTTACTTTTTCCATTCATCATTTTGTTCCTTTTGCTCCGTTTAATCATTCACCATCCTTCCTGAGATACAGGCCTGGGGAGCCAATGTGATAATGTACATCAAAGTGCTTTGGAAAGCTCAAAATGCTCTTTAGATGCTTATAATGAAACCAGTCATCATTATTTGTTGCTGCTGCTGTGATGCATGTTATGATTATGAATCATCCTATCAATGCAGGAAGTCTTACATGTCCATTTCTCTGGGCTGACTGGCTTCTGGAAGGGCGGGCATATTCTTTCATTGTTCTTCATCATCAAATGGGAAATCCCACTTCCAAACACGATGAGCATTTTGTCGTATGG